ACTCCAGACCACATATTCAATAACTTAGAAGAAATGAACAAATTCTCTGAAATAATCTATCAAAAGGCAAACAAAGAGAGATGATTAGGTCTATATGTGCTAAAGAAATGAAATCACTAATTCTCAAAACAAGGACAGATTAAGACACAAATTATTTCAATCATCAATTTTTCCAAACAATTAAGATAGGGCACTAATTCTGTAAAACTTCCTCTGAAAAGGCAAACACATCCTAGTTCAAACTTTGAGTTCAACATTACCATAACACTAAAACAACACAGGAGAAAAAACAAAGCAAAAAATAAACCTAAAGAATGACCAATGCAAAAACTCTCAACATCAGCAACCTGAATTTTCAAGTGTACTTTTATAATTATTAAAAGAACCAGAGCCAGTGTGGTTGCATACACCAGCATTTGGCACGCTGAAGCAAATGAACTGCCAAGAGTTTGAAGCCAACCTGGTCTGCAGAGTAAAATATGTCTGGAAACAAAGTATATACCAAAACCATGCTGGAATCGATACAGACACAGCAAGTCAATTCAAACCTTTAAACTCAGACTGTAAACAAAGCTCCAAGGTAAAACAAATGCCTAGCAGTATGCAAACAGACATTTTAATTCCCATCAACATAAAAGGAAAAATGTAAAGATGTAGTCCACCAAATTGACAATTTTAAATAGTAAAAATCATGTCATCATACTAGTAATTGCAAACAAAACCAAAACAAAACAAAAACCACTGCCAGAAATGGGAGAGCACTACTGAGACTGTTAAGAGTTCGAAATTAAAACCACCACACAGCTTATATAGGACCAAAGGTAAGTGAGACTTGGCATATTAATGTAACTACTCCTATAGACAAAAATTACACATTTCTAATGAAAAAAATAATCAAAGTACTTAATAAGTGGAAGATCTCTATGACCCTGGAAAGGAAGCCTCAAAATTATGACAGTTATCATTACGATCTACAGATTCATCACACCCCAACACAAACTCCAAGAATTTATGTTGAAAGTAACAAAGTTGATCTAAACATTGTATGGCAAGAGATACTCAGACTAGTCAACACAAAGGACAGAGGCTGTAGCAGAGCTGGTGGTGTGCTAGACTACTGCGAAGCTGTTCCTTTCCCAGCACACAAAACAACAAAAGGCATATAGGCACACACCCTGAATCCCAGCACTGCAGAGGTGGGTCTAGGTAGCAAGATCACAAGCTCAAGGTCACCCTCAGCTAAAATAAAGTTTGAGGCCAGCCTAGGAAACACGAGATCTTGTCTCAAAAAGAGAAAAAAGTTAATACACTACTGAAGTATAAACAATACACTATCTTACTTTAAGATTTCCAATAAAACTACAATGATCAAATTAGTACAGTCTTTCACAAATAAAAAACAAGCAGAATAAAAAAGACGGAAGCAAACCCACCAAAACAGTAACTGATTTTTAACAAAGCAGTATAAAGCAAACACGCTATCAACCAAAAACTGGACAGACTTTACAGCTTTCACAAAACTAATTCAAAAGCAGATCCTAAGCCGAAATAGGACATGCAAGCACCAGAACGTCTACAACTCAAGAGAAACTAGGCCACCTTTAGCAACTGGCAGTCCTGCCACGCATGAGATCCGGCCAGAGCAAATGTGACACCACCTACTCAGAGCGTCCAGGCACAGGGCGGAGCCTCTCGGCCGAGGGGCAGAGCTGCCCAGAGGCCGCCGGTCCCGGGCCTAGGCTGCCCCCCCCGGCGTGGCCCCGCCCCAACCCCGGGGAGGCCCCGCCGCACAGGCTCCCACGGTTCAGCCGCCGCTCCTCCGGTCTAGGGACAGTGGCCCCCCGCTCACCATGGCGTGGCTTCCGAACTCGCCCACTCTCTCCCCACAGTTCCCGGTACCGGCGCTCACAGCGCAGTCCACTCGCACCACCCTCAGCCACCGCCAGAAAAAAACCCGCCCCTCACCGCCTGCCGGAGATCATGATTGGAAGGCCGGCTTAAATATCCTGATTGGCTAGCGAGGCCTGAGTGACAGGAGCTGCTCCCTCAGGGAAGAAGCCAAGCTCAGAGGAGGAGCCTGGGTAGCTGGACAAAGTTTGCATTAAAGTGGAACTTGTTTCTGCCTCACTTTTTGCACTCAGTAGGCACTCCTTGCCCTTCGTCCTGATCACAGGATCGCTAGTGTTAGCATAACATGTTATGCAAAGCCCAACGAATGATACCTCACAACAGGAAGGGTGTCCAGTGCACCCAAGGTAAAATCAGCACTCCTTGCCCTTCGTCCTGATCACAGGATCGCTAGTGTTAGCATAACACGTTATGCAAAGCCCAACGAATGATGCCTCACAACAGGAAGGGTGTCCAGTGCACCCAAGGTAAAATCAGAAAAAGACTGGGAAGTCCTCCACTGACCAGTAATTTCTGTAAGGCACCCCTAGGATTGTTCATACCTTCTCTTTCAGATTCCACATTTTTAGCCAGAAAAATAGTAACATGTACCAAGTCTTCATCTTAGTAACACATAGCATTAGGAGGATCAGGAGTTCAAGGGTAGGTTGGCTTACATGCAGCTGTCAATAAATGACAGCTTCCAAGAGAAAAAAGTATTAATGGAAAAATGGAGTTTGGAGAGGGTAGAGATTAAACCAACAATCCATAAAACGGGTAATCCAAAAAATGAAAACAACAATAACAAAAAACAAAATATCAACAACAAAACAACCCCCTCAAAAAAACAAAACATCCAGAAAAACACTAATACCAAAAGTTGAGTTTTTAAAAAAGATTTTTATATTTTGTGTGTGTGTAGAGTATCATATACCCTGGAGCTACAGTTTCGGACTGTTTTGAGCTGCCAGATGTGAGCACCAAGAAGCAAACACCCTGGCATATGGAAGAACAGCCAGGGCACTGAACCTCTCTGAGTTAATCAAGTCTAAAGTTGATTACCTGTGGGGTAAATGGCTGATATGCCTATTGAACATATGAAAATGAACCTGGTCTCCAGGTTATCCCACCTGTTACAGGATCTTTCTGGCTTCCAAACCCTAAAATTCTCTAGCCCAGGGGCTTGGCAGACTTCTGTTTGAAATGAGAAATGTTGGGTACAGTAGCACACATCTATACTCGATTCCTGAATTTCGGAGGCTGAGCCAGAAGGATCAAAAGTTGCAGGCTAGCCTAAGCTACAGAATGAGACCCTATCTCAAAGCAAAATCATAAAAAGGAATTGTTAAGGTATAGATAGCAGTAATGATTGTTAGGTGCACAAAGCTCTTTTTGGCCACAGATCACTACAAAAAAACAGGAATGTTAAACATGTAGGTGTCTCCTCAATGGAGAAGATGCAATACCTGCATTCCACCCAGAAAACTGATAGTGTAGGTTGTTAATGACCTGGTGTCCTCACCAAAAATGTCTATCCCAGACTCTCCCTCCTTAGGCCTTTTATCTTTAGCTGTCGGTTAATAGAGCCCCATCATGAGGGGGGGGGTCACATGTACTTTATGGCCTGCTGACCTCTATGCTATCAGAGACCATACCAGATCCTAGGCCTTTTAGCTACAGAACCCATCTTCATGGTCACATGTACTTTGTAAAGGAGTTTCTAAGTAGCCACATGTTAAACTTTATTGTTGCCTGGAAACCTAGAATAGAAATGATAGCTGCCTGGAAATTTTTCCCAAATTCTATTATGTTCGATATTCTATTATTATTCTATTATATAACCACCTGGCATCAAACTTCTCCCAAGTTTGATCCAGCTTGACAAAGTCAATCTGAACTGAGTTTTCATTCTCACCTCTTTGAGGTTTTCTTCCCTTCCTACGGTGAACACACCATTTGAAGAGACTCCCTCAAATGGTAACATAACACTATAAATGTACTTAACTTGTGTCCTTAAAATGTTGAAATAGTAAATCTAGGTACACATATTTTAGCACAGAATGCTTCCAAACTAAAAACAAAAAGACAAAAATCCACAAAGATGCAACTGTCTTGGATTTTTAAAAATAAAATAAAACCAGATGGATAAGTAAGAACCTAAAAGGTCTAATAACAGAAACTACCAAAGACCCAAAGAAAATGAACAGAATAGAAGTGAGCTGAATAAGGGGGCAAAGAGAGAGGGGGGAGGTCACTGGTCCATTCTCTACCATCTCTCTGACTTCTGAATTTTATTTAATAATAGAATATAAGCAATCATTTCACACTTAATAAGTCACTTGTTGCCCATATCAAATATGACACTAACTTTTGTAAGTTCACCACAAACCTATTAACACTGAAGCCAAAGCTATTTATTCTCTCTGGGAGTACAAGTTTGCAGGGCTATGGCTGCCACCCTCTTTATCTTTGTGCAGGGAGGGCCTGACACAGGAAGTAACTGCACAAAGGGCAGACAGCATGGCCATGGTTTTTCTCCACGCTCTGCCACAAAGAGGGCTGAAGACACAATCCTGTTCTTTACTGGGCCTACGACAGACAGATTTCCTGAGGTTCAGGCCAGGAAAGTGGCCGACCTGGCCAAGAACACCGAGATAAGAGACTGCTTGAACTGGGTACTGATGGGGACAGCGTCTTTCTTCCAAGGTAGGAGGCATTGGGAGCTCTTTTAAACTCCTGCCTGGAAATCTTTCAGAAGGGAAGCCCAAGGACAGGAAGAGACGCCAGGGTTCTCAAGGGGAAAGGAGACCAAAGAGGACGGAGGAGACCGAGTGGATGGACAGCAGACTGAGCTTCAGGGGAGTATCCAGATCGCAGTGTCGCCGCGCAAAGACCCTGTCGCCTCCGTCACACAAACCGCAGCCGCAAACAGAGCCCTCCAGCCTCCAGCCCCCTCCCCCCCCCCCCCCCCCCGCCCCCCCCCCCACCCAAACCGCAGCCGCAAACAGAGCCCTCCAGCCTCCAGCCCCCTCCCCCACCCCCACCCGTGTCCTGGCGCTAAGCTGCCTGTCAGCTCCTCGCAGGGCCAGAGCCACGGCCTTCCTGCTCCTCACCGAGAGCTCGCAGGCTCCTCCACGCCGCAGCGCCACACCGACTGCCCCGGAACGCCACTGCAGAAAGGGCACAGAGACTGGCGCGGGGCGGAGTCCAGGAAAGCCATGAAAAGTCGGGAGTGGGAGGATCTTCCGGAGCCTGAGAGTTACCACTTCCCCATCCGAATCCCGGGCGGGTTTCAGGTCCCCTGAGAACTTATGGCAGCCGCTGGGAGCCCCGGGAGGTGAGCGGGGAAGCGCCGAAGCTTGGCCAGTGCCAATCTGAGTCCTGCCCGAGTGCACACCACTCCTTACTCTGTTGTGCACCTTATTTGACCTTAAACCCTCAGAAAACTGCTTCAACCTTCCAAGTGATTACAGGCCTGTCACCCTTCCTGGCTTAGGTGGGGTGAAAATAAAGGTGGCTTCATTTTCAACTTTAATTGATCACTAAAATGGGGGGATAAGAGGCGCGATTATACATAAGTATAGTAGAAAACCACTTTCTCTGTGAGCATGGGTTTCCCCATCTGTAAAATAAGGACAGAACTATGCCCTAATCCTTTAATGTGGTTACAACAGACTCAATAATAAAAGAAAACAATGTTGCTCATTGTGGGCAGACTGTGGTGAAGTATAAGGCACAAGGGCTGCGTCTGATGGATGCTGCGTTCGGTTACTGGAGTTAGGACCAGAGCCGGTGTCCTGACTACCCTAATGAAACAGTGTCTGCTACTCATCGTCCCACAAAACAAGTGTTAAATTAATAGTGAAAAGCAGCCAGGCACACGTGTTACCCAGCACTAGGGAAGCAGAGGCAGGTGAATCTCAGTGATTTCGAAGCCAACCTGGTCTACATAGCAAGTTCCAGGATAGTCAGAGCTACAGACTAGAGACACCCTTCCAGGTAGAGAAAGTGGGGAGGGAGGGAGGAAGGGAAAATGGGAAAAGATTTATTCAATGTGGGTTACACTAGGAAGCTGGATGATTGCTCCCAAGCCCATCTTCAAGTCACTACTGGCAGGATAAGGTAGGAGGCTTAACTAAGTAGTCCAGCTAAGGTGTGAGGTGCAGTCAGTCCACCCTCCTCCCTCCTCTCAGCTCCTGTCTTGAGAGTATGGTAGAAATTCAGTCTTACAAATGTTTCTCCCATAGACAAGTTTCTCCTCTGGCTGTCCTCAGCCTTTTCTTCTATGATGAGATTCCTGGAAAAATTCTATTGTTTCAATAGTCTGTTGGCCAAAGAGAGAGACATAAATGTCTCTTGGGAATATTATTCCTGCCAGGCAGGCTGAGTTACATAGACAATGGGGTGGCATGGAGATCTAAGTGGGGATGGTAGAATTCAGGACCACACCATGCTGTCTCTAACACTAGACCTTGCAATCCCATCCACGGCACCTCAGGAAACAACCCATGGTCTCATTTACTAAAATGGAGTGAAAAAGAGTCTTTTATGAACTGTTGGAGATGTAACTTCAGAAGTCACAAAAGTTGTATACACAGCTGTTATAAAACTCAAGTGTGACTCCCCTTGACAAGCGCACAAATTTTCCTGAAGTGCCTTTCTTGCTAATACCTATGCTTAAATTTATGTTGAAAATAACTTAATTAACTCTTGGGCTGAAAAAATAGTTTATTGTAGGTAAAGTGCTTGCCCTGCAACTGAGGACCTGAGCACACATCTCCAGAACAAAGGTAAAGCCAAATACAACCGTGCATGTTTGTAATCCCAGTACACCTATGACAAGATCGGAGGTAGAGACAGAAGAATTCTTAGATAATTATGAGCATGGAATGGCAAACAAGAAACCCTGCCTCAAACTCAGTGGAAGGTAAAGTTGTCCTTATCTAACCTTCACACTGGATGGCAGTGCGTGCGCTCACAAATAATAAAACCCCAGTTCTGCTCCATATTGATTGACAAATAATAAAACCCCAATTCTGCTCCGTATTGATAGAGTTCTTTTTGACAACACAATCAAGAATCCCAGCTTCACTGAGGTGAGGTCCCTGAAAAGAACTTATGCAGAAATTATACAGAAAGAAGCATAAACCTGCATTTCTCTCTCTCTTCTTATAACACATTGCTCTTTCTGTCTGACCATTATAATGCCTTCCTAAATAGGTTAGATGGCACCACTTAAGCTGGATTGTCTTAAAGCATGCTGGCAATTCAGCACTCAGAACATAGAGGTAGGAAGACCACTGTGGATGTGAGGAAACCCTGGGCTACACAGTGAGACACTGCCCTACCAAATAAGTAAATTAATTATTTTAAAATTAATTTTTAAAAATTAATTAAAATCTAGTAACAGAGGAAGAAGAGTACTGGAGGGTTAGAACAATACCACCTAAGGTCACTTCAGGAGTTAGGCACTGATTTCTATATCATTTTCAAAGGGTAATTTTCTTTTAGGGTGGGTACTTCTACTTCAGTTTACCTAGTCTAAAGAATCCCTTACACACATCACATGCGGGGAGTGATTTGTTTCCATAGCTATTCCAAATTCCAGAAAGATTACAATGGAGATTAACAATTGAGTTAACCTTAACCCAACCCTGTAACTCCATAATTCCTAACCCTAGCACAATTAAAATCTAAACCTAACCTTTCCACTGCTCTGGTCTACAAACCTAGAGAAAACCTAAACTAAATGAAAATCTCTAGAAATAAACAATGCAGAAAGAAACTTTTATGTGGGAGGTCTCTACAATGCACCAGTCAGTTCTTGGTATACTCTCTCTCTCTCTCTCTCTCTCTCTCTCTCTCTCTCTCTTTTTGAAAATACCATACTTATAGACTTATGGAAATATTTCTTGATGTTATTTAAGGTGACATGGCCTATCATAGCATGAAAACAGTGTGACAATGTTTCCATGGCAGCCAGACTTTGTGCCTGTAACTCCTCACCTCAATAGTACAAGGACAGAGACAAGTAGCCAAAAACTGGGTCATGGGTGTAATTCTAAAAGCCTGGTTTTCACGAACCCACTTACCTCTAACTAGGCCATACCTGCCAAAGGTTTGTCAAGCCTGCAAAACAATGCCATAAGCTAGAGATCACCAGACTAATTCAGTTTTTTGTGACTTCTTTTGTTTAAGAAACTGTTATGACACCCTGTGTATATAGGTATATGAAGTAGGTGTTTAAACGATATATTTACTGTTAATAAATCAAAGAATCTACTTAAAACCAATTTGGTAAATATATAATTTTATCATTTATTAGCATGAAAGTAAATGTTTACATTAATGAAATGGGCATATTATTTTTGCATAAAAGATTAAATATTAGCTAAATATTTGATAATGTAGGTAATAGAGAATGTTTTTCAGAGTTAATTTATACTTTGGTTTTATAATTGTCAAATATGGAAAATATCATGTAAATCAGTAGGAAAAGTCAGAAATACAGTTAGGACCATTTCATAAGTTGTTAAAATATTTTTCTTTATTGTAACCCAACAATCATTGAATGATTCTTTTTTTAATAAAATACAAGTCAGTAACTTAAGCAATTTTTAAAGCTACACTATACTATACAATACAAGATAAATTAATTTGGTACTTACATGTTGATAAAAATAGAAAATTCTGTTTCCCACAACTAAATCAGTATTTACATAAGAGGAAAAAACTCTGTGTATTTAAAGTATTTCATTTTGCAACATTCAGCAAGTCTTGTGTGTGTGCTGAGGTGCTTTAGGAAGTTGTTAATTGGCATTGCTGGTATGACATCACATGCAATACACATGTTGCATGATTAGAACAAGTGGAGGTACAGTTAAATCACATGATGCAACATGGGTGAGTGAGGCCAGTGATATGAGAATCAATGAACATATAAGTCTGAATTTTCAATCACTGTATTCAAAACATTTAAGTGTTACCAATTGTTTTTTAGATCTCTGTTATTGCAACCCAGTAAGGAATCATGAACCGCAGACTAAAAATCTATTCCCAACCACAAAACTTTGTGGAGATAATTTCCTATCCAAATCAAAACACACTCTCCCAGGCCCCATGGGCTTATGGAAATCTGATAATGCAGGTAGTCCTACTTCAAAAGTCTATAATCTTAAAGCAACTGCAGAAGGAAAATTAAAGCCCAAATGAATTCAGTAAAAGGATCAGCATAAGCAATTATAGACCTCAATAGATCCTTCATATATATGAAAGCTTAAACTCAATACCAAAAGACTTCCATTAACATGGAAATGTACATGGTGTTTTACCTGCTTACAACAAATCAACAAGGAAAAACACCAATCAAGGGAGAGACTTTCTCAAGAATTTCAACAGGTCCTTCACAAACTATCATCAGTTCTATACATTTTACTGTTCATGAAAACTTTCCATGACAGATGTGAAGGTGCACGGCTGTCATGACCTGGTTATTCCAGGCTAATGGATACTGTTACCCAAAGACTTTTTTCTCTCTCTACTCAGTGTCTCAGTATGTAATCATGGACAGCTACAAGCACCAATCTCCTGCCTCAGTGTTGTAAATGATAACATTTTTTCCACAAATATACAATGCAAAAATTATAGAATAACCATACAAAGAAATAGTTTGAAACAATTATAAAATGATTACATTTTAAGCAGTATTATTATAAAAAACAAAAGTATTAAAATTATATACATTGTAAAAAGTTATAAGCAAATTTATTCTTTAGGAAAACAACAATATACTATAAACAATGTCTACAGTGTTGATAAAGTTTACAGTAGATTGATGTATCCTATGACTTTATATTCACCTAACGGTCTCTGATAGAAGAAAATCTAGTCCTAAAAGCTACCCATAGTAAGTACTCTTCATTTGTAAAATATTTATTTTTATATCAAATCTTTTGTTTGATACATATTTAGTGGCACTATGACTAAAATATGCAATGAAGGAACATTCCACAGACTAGTAGAGTCTTGAAGTTATACTATGTAGCTTAAGTATATGATAGGCTATACTTACTATACAGATAAACTATGATTAGGAAACTGTCTAACAATTTATACCAGCAATTATTTATGCTGTTAAAAGTTCATATCTACACTTAGAAAACCTTCATCTCAATGTTTTCCTGCAAAAGAAAAAGAAATTCATCACCTCGGGGACCTTCTCATTTCTCTGATGGTGGTACTAGGAATTAAACTGGGAAACTAGTGCTAAACAAATGAGCTACTTATCTCTTTTCCAATTTTTATTGAGATTGGTCTCACTATGTTATCTGGACATGCCATGAACTATCTCCTGCCTCAAAACCAGAGTACCCAAGATACAGGCCTGCATTATCAGGTGTTGCTGGGATCTTCTTCAAACTGAAATCACTGCTAAATGTTGTACATTCACAAATTACATAGCTTTTCATACATGCTATAACACTTTTGAGCATGATTTTCTTCAGTATTTCAATAGATGTAAATTTGTAGAATCTTCTAATTATAGTTATCACATGACTTTTAGTGTTGTAAAATACAAGCTTCATTTTCCAAACTGCAGCAGTTTCAATCCAATGTCTGCTTCTGTAGGACTACCTTCACACACACACACACACACACACACACACACACACACACCCATGATGCATTAGCTTATATATTTGAGTGGATGTTTTAAGAAATGAAATATCATATTGCATTAATTCATAAGTTTTACCACTAGATATTTTCATGTCTTCAAATGGAACTGAAGATCTTAACACATCTCTTAGAGTCATGGAGTTTTCTCCAGTGAGTCCTCCCAAGCTTTCCATAGCAAGCAAATTAACAAATAAAAATCCCAAAGCCTTCACCATTTGTTTTGTATTCATTAGCTCTTTTCCCGGTACTTCCACATATTTGAAGAGAACTAGAAATTCTAAACATTCTTGCTTGTTTGTTTGCATCACAGGGTTATTTTTCTCAGGCATGTGTTTTTCCATGTCTTCGAAGGGAACGGTAACATGTAAAGGCTTTACCACAGTCTTTGCATTCATAGGGTCTCTCTCCAGTGTGAGATCTTTCATGAATTTGAAGTAAATATGGATAAGTAAAGGATTTCTGACATTGTTTACATTCATAGCGTTTTCCTCCAGCATGAGCTACTTTATGTCTCTGAAGAGAACTATGACTTATCAAAGCTTTGCCACACTGTTTACATTCATAGGGTTTTTCTCCTGTATGAATTTTTTCATGCATTTGAAGGGAACTGTGACTTCGGAAGGCTTTGTCACACTGCTTACATTCATAAGGTTTTTCACCAGTGTGAGTTCTTTCATGCATTTGAAGGAAACAGGGATAAAGAAAGGCTTTACTACATATATTACATTTATAGAGTTTCTCACCAGTATGAGACCTCTCGTGCATTTGAAGGTAGCATGGATAAATGAAGGACTTACCACACTGTTTACATTCATAGGGTTTCTCTCCAGCATGGAGTCTTTCGTGCCTTCGAAGGGAACTTTGACTTCTGAAGGCCTTACCACACTGCTTACATTCGTAGGGTTTTTCCCCAGTGTGAGTTCTTTCATGTAATTGAAGAGAGCTTGAACAACTGAGAATTTTACCACACTGCTTACACTCATAGAAACCACTATGAGTTTTTTCATGGATTCGAAGGTAACCAGCACTTTTGAAGGTTTTGCCACATTCTTCACATTCATAGGGCTTTTCACCGGTATGGGTTCTTTCATGTGCCTGAAGGAGACTGTGACATCTAAAGATTTTACCACACTGTGGGCAGTCATAATGCTTTTCTCTAGCATGGGCTCTTTCATGTAATTGAAGGGAACTGAGGCCTTTGAATGCTTTCCCACATTGTACACATTCATAGGGTTTTTCTCCACTATGTATTCTTTCGTGTCTTTGAAGGAAAGATGCACAAATAAAGGCTTTACTGCATATCATACATTTATAGGGCTTTTCTGCAGAATGAGCCTTCTCATGCTTTTCAAGTAAATACTGATAAAGGAAGGCCTTGCCACATTGTTTACATTCATATGGTTTTCCTTCAGCATGAGTTTTTTCATGTACCTGAAGATTACTGAAACGTCTAAAGGTTTTACCACATTGTTTACATTCGTAAGACTTTTCTCCAGCATGTGCTCTTTCATGTACTTGAAGGGAATTGGAAGAACTGAGGGTTTTGCCACACTGCTTGCATCCATAGAAACCACTATGAGTTTTTTCATGGATTCGAAGATTACTGAGACTTTTGAAGGCTTTACTACATTGTGTACAAGCATAAGGTTTTTCACCAGTGTGGGTCCTTTCATGTACTCGAAGTAGACTATGGTATTTGAAGGCCTTACCACAAAGTTTACATTCATGGGGTTTTTCACCAGTATGAATTATTTCATGTACTCGAAGACAACTGAGACTTCTGAACGCCTTACCGCACTGCTTACAATCATAAGGTTTTTCTCCAGTGTGGGTTCTTTCATGTAGTTGAAGGGAACTTGAGCAACTGAGAGTCTTCCCACACTGCTTACACTCATAGGGTTTTTCTTCAGTGTGAGCCCTTTCATGTACTCGAAGATAACTGAAACCCCTGAAGGCTTTCCCACACTGTTTACACACATAGGGCTTTTCTCCAGTGTGTGTTCTTTTGTGTAACTGCAGAGCGCTTGAACAACTGAGACTTTTACCACATTGTTTACATTCATAGGGCTTTTCTTCAGTGTGACTTCCTTCATGTATACGAAGGTAACTGAGACTTCGGAAGGCTTTGTCACATTGTTTACATTCATAGGGCTTTTCTTCAGTGTGACTTCCTTCATGTATACGAAGGTAACTGAGACTTCGGAAGGCTTTGTCACATTGTTTACATTCATAGGGTTTTTCGCCAGTGTGTGTTCTCACATGAACTTGAAGTAAACATGGATAAATAAAAGACTTACCACACTGCTTGCATTCATAGGGTTTTCCTCCAACATGAGAAACTTTATGTCTTTGAAAGGAACCTTGATCTTTAAAGTCTTTACCACACTGTTTACACGCATACGGTTTTTCTTCACAGTGAGTCCTTTCATGTCTTTGCAGGAAAGAGGAACATAGAAAGGCTTTACTACAGAGCTTACACTTATAGGGTTTCTCTCCAGTGTGTGATCGTTCATGTGACTGAAGAGAACTCTGACCTCTGAAGGTTTGGCTGCACTGCTTGCATTCATAGGGCTTTTCCCCAGTGTGAGTTCTTTCGTGTCTTCGAAGGAAAGAGGGGCACAGAAAAGCTTTACTACATATGTTACATTTATATGGCTTCTCCCCACTGTGAGACCTTGCATGCAATCGAAGGGAACTATGACTGCTGAAGGCTTTACCACACTGTTTACACTTGTAGGGTTTTTCCCCTGTGTGAGTTCTTTCATGTCTTTGCAGGAAAGAAGAACAACGAAAGGTTTTATTGCAAATGTTACATTTGTAGGGTTTCTCTCCAGTATGAGATCTTTCATGGGTTTGAAGTAAATAGGGATAAATGAAAGACTTACCACACTGTTTACACTCATAGGGTTTCTTCCCAGCATGGGCTATTTGATGTCTCTGAATGGAGCTGTGGCTTCTCAGAGCTTTCCCACACTGTCTACATTCATAGGGTTTTTCTCCAGTATGCGTTCTTTCATGTACTCGAAGATTACTGAGACCTCTAAAGGGCTTAGCACATTGCTTACATTTATATGGTTTTTCTCCTGTGTGAGTTCTTTTATGTCTTTGCAGGAAAGAGGAACAAAGAAAGGCTTTACTACATACCTTACATTTATAAGGTCTCTCTCCAGTATGATACCGTTCATGAATTTTAAGTAAATAGGGATAAATGAATGACTTACCACACTGCTTACATTCATATGGTTTTTCTCCAGCATGAATTATTTCATGTCTTTGAAGGGAACTGTGACCTTGGAACACTTTACCACCCTGCTTACATTCATATGTTTTTTCCCCAGTATGAATTTCATGTCCTTGAAGGGAATTTTGACACCCGAAAGCTTTACCATACTGCATGCAATCAGAATGCTTTTCTCCATTAGGAGTTCCACTGTGAAACAGCAAGGAATTGAAAGAACTCAAAGTGGTATCACATGGTTTACATTCAGAAGGGTTTTCTTTGGTGTGAGTTCCTCCATAAATACCAAACGAAATGGGACAAATAAAGGCTGTTTCATATTGATTATACTCTTGGGGCTGTTCTCCACTGTGAATTTGCTGATACATTCCACATGAACTTGGAAAATCAAAAGATTCTGAATATACTTCATATTCATAAGTTCCACTCACAGTGTGGGTGCCCATGTATATGTGAACAGTTGTGAGAGAATTGGAGTTATATTGCTTCTTTCCATATTCCTCAAGCTCATAAAGGTATCCGGGGTGAGATAAGATGTTCCTATTAAATGATGAATGATGCATGAAAACTTTCCCATACAAATTACATTCACATAGTTTCACCGAAATTAAAATTTTTGGACTTCTATTGACATCTGATATCTTGGAGGTTTCTCTAAGTGGATTACCTTCTTTAGTCTCACAGACCAAATCTAGCATTTGACTTTTGTTATCACTGACAGGCACACTACTAGAGGTTGCTTCACTGATGACTACTTAGTCATTAGTAGGTTTTAGATTTCTACTATTCCCTACATCAGTGAAAGTATATGTCTTCTGCAGTACCTAACTGTTCTCAAACTAAATGGATGAATGATTCTGCAATATGGTTCTTAAAGGTATTATTAGAGTACAAAAGGTCACACATGCACTTCACTCAGTACTGTTTCTAAGTGAACTGTTTTTTAAATCTAAACAGCTTTCTTACATGGAATTACATTTTTTGTTAAATTTTTCTAGTGATAAATAATTTAAATTTGTGTTTGCCTTACTTACTTGTTCATAAATTTTCATAAACATATTACGATTCTCTCAAAAGGTATTTTCTCCCACCAATACGTATAATTTACCTTAGATTTCTCCCAGGATGTTTATACTGGTCTTCAATGGTCTGGTATTCTGATTTAATTCCTAAAATGCAGACCCAGAAAAAATTTTACAAATTATTAGAAATTACAAGGAAATTGTACCTATGCCTGATTTATTCACAAAATTCTTCCCTTTCCACATTCCAAATTACAGAAAGAAGGAACACTTGTCTAATTGAGAAAGTATAGAAATATCAACAGTCTTACCCACAGAAGCAAGGTTACTACAGGTTTCCAGCATCACATTAGTGTATAGCTTCTTCTGAAAAGGATCCAGCAAAGTCCACTCTTCTTGGGTGAAGTTCACTGCCACATCCTCAAAGGTCACTGAGTCCTAAAATATCCCACATGCATACATAAGAAAATGGGTGAAACTAACAGCATTGTGGATAACTGATAAGATGTTCACATAATTCTGCACTCTCCAAATGTTTATTCAGTGACAGAGAAGTTCTAACGCTAAGACTGGCCTATTCAGGCAGGGAATGCTGAGGTAGGAGCATCCCTCTCATCAGTGCATCCACATGTTCACATAATTCTGCACTCTCCAAATGTTTATTCAGTGACAGAGAAGCTCTAACGCTAAGACTGGCATATTCAGGCAGGGAATGCTGAAGTAGGAGCATTCCTCTCATTAGTGCAGCCAAGGTTGGAGTGTGCTACTGGGCCAACTCAATTTCTCTTTCTAGAATGGATTATCTACTACCTGTGATAACAAAATCCTACTGTATAATGTACAAAATAAAATACAGTCAAGAGGTTGCTTTTTCTTAGAACTTCTTAGGCACAAACGGGGGTTGTTGTTGTTTTGTTTTGTTTTAAAATTTATTTAACTTTATTTTATGTGCATTGGTGTGAAGGTGTCAGATCCCCTGGAACTGGAGTTACAGATAGTTGTGTGAGCTGCCATGTGGGTGCTGGGAAGAGAACTGATGTCCACTAGAAGAGCTCTTACGCTACATGCTCTTAACTGCTGAGCCATCTCTCCCAGCACCCACATGGCAGCTCACAACTGTCTGTAACTCCAGTTCCAGGCGATCTGACACCCTGATACAGGCATACATGCAGGCAAAAGAACAACACACATAAAATAAATAAATCATTTAAAAATGTACTCCTTTATATAAAAAAACTTAAAAGTTCCATCTAAAGACCCCCCTGTTTATATAGAAAGGAATTTCTTTTAGAATAAATGAACCATTCATTTTATACTTGTGACCAACTAGGACATTTCAGTCATGAATACACAAAGATGCCTGGTAGTAAATGTCCTATGGGGCCATGTCCCAATCCAAAATGGGAGAGTAACTGGAAGCAGAACTAACCCTGTCCTTCAGAGAGTGATGGGCCATCTGAAATAAATAAATAAATAAATAAATAAATAAATAACCTGAAACTTGAAAAATCAACAAATGTCAATAATTCTGGTCCTGAAGTATGACAAAGACATCTCCTTTGTGAGGATGAAGAGGACCCTGAAGTTGTAGAACTCCCATGTTCACCATGCCTATTAAAAGCCTAGGATAAACCTAGATGTGGCAAAGATTATGCATATAATGCCAATCCATGAACTGCATTATTCTCCCTGACTAACGTTTCTGACTTAACATTTTACTCGACAGTCCTCCCCACCAGCATGAATGGCAACCCTAGCCACTTTAAACCTACAGGACATCTTACCTTTTTTTTTTCATTTTATCAAGCTGCCTGATTCTCCTAGGTAGAGCCTCACATCCAAATTCCAGGGACATTTACAATACTTAGTAGCAGCAGAGGCCTTGGGCACTCTTAATACAGAGTCCTACGCCCAGCAAATGCTAAAGATCATATAGGGCTCCAAATACTCTCCCAAAACTATCTACTACAGATACCTACAGCATGAAACCCATTATGGAAATTAGTTTGCAGATTCTTCAAAAATAAAAATAAAAATAGAATTACCATATGAACAGCTATGTCACTTCTGGGCATAGAGTTCCATACCCTACGATATTTGTACCTCCATAGTTATTGCTGCTCAGCTCACTATGTCAAAGAACTGTAACCAACCTAGTTGTCGTCCATCAATAGATGAATGAATAATGAAATGAATAATGAAAACCTGTTAAGATGTATAAAATGGGGGCTGGAGAGATGGCTCATTGGTTAAGAGCACTGACCATTCTGCCTACCCTTCCAAAGGATCAGGATTCAATTTCCAGCACCCACATGGCAGTTCACAACTGTCTGTAACTAAAATTCCAGGTGATGTGGCATCCTCACACAGACATACAAGCAGGCAAAACACCAATGTACATAAAACAAACACACAAAAAAGATGCATAAAATGAAATACTATTCACCTTCATTCCCCCTCCTCCGCAGGCCTGACCCCTACCTAGAGTGGGCCTGCCCAGGCAGGGAGGAGCTCCCTGAGTCTGGAAATACCTCACTCTTCCTTCCCCCCTCCTGCTGGCCTGATCCCTACTAAGGTGAGTGTACCCTCTGCTCCTGCCCTACTCCTACCCAATGTACCCATCACCCCGGATCTCTCTGCACCTGCGCCTGCATCTGCTGAGGGTGGAGCCGGCGAGGGAGGGAGGAACTCCCTGAGTCTGGAAACACCTCACCCTTCCTTCCGCCTTCCACCTCTGGCCCAACCCCTACAGAGTGAGCAGACTACCAGGAGAGGCAAGACCATCCAGAGCTGCAGACATTGAAGTCTTGGCCCACACACACCACTGGGTGAAAAGAAAAGAAAAAGAGACCCCCCCCCCCCCTGCACCCACTGGAAGAAGAGAAGGGAAGAAGACAGAATAAGAACACACTCAATAACAGAAAGGCCAATATGACACCAATAGAATCTAGGGACTCCACACCAGCAAGATATGTAAAGCCCAACACAGATAATATTATGTAGGAAGATGATAAATATTATCTTAGGAAGATGATAGAGACCTTTAAAGAGGAAACAAGAAAATCCCATAAAGAAATAATAGAAAGAACAAGCAAAAAGTTACATAAAATGGAGGAAAAGACAAACCAAAAACTTCAAGAAATAAGCAGATCTCTTAAAGAATCTAAAGAAAGCCAAGAAAAAACAACCAAACAAGTGAAGGAAGCACTCAAAACAGTTCAAGACATGAAAGCTGAAATAGACACAATAAAGAAAACACAGAATGAGGCAATGCTGGAAATGGAAAGGCTGGATAAATGATCAGGAAATAAAGATGTGAGTATAACCAATTGAATTCAAGAGATGGAAGAGAGACTCAGAGTTGTTGAAGACTCTCTAGAGGATATACAGTCATTGATCAAAGAAAATCTCAGTCTAAAATATCCCTAACACAAAATATCCAGGAAATATGGGACACCGTGAAAAGACCAAACCTAAGAATAATAGGTATAGAAGAAGACAAAGAAATTCACCTCAAAGGTACAGAAAACTTATTCAACAAAATCATAGAAGAAAACTTCCCCAACCTAAAGAAGGATATGTCTCTGAAAATACAAGAAGCTTACAGAACAACAAATAGACTGGACCACAAAAAGAAGTCCCCTCGACACTTAATAATCAAAACAGCAAACTTACAGAATAAAGAAAAATTAGTAAGAGCAGCAAAAGAAAAAGGCCAAGTAACATACAAAGGCAGACCTATCCCGAATTACACCAGACTTCTCAATGGAAACTTTGAAAGCAGAAGATCATGGATAGATGTTCTACAAACTCTAAGGGAACATAGATGTCAGCCCAGACTACTGTACCCAGCAAAACTTTCAATCACTATAGATGGAGAAAACAAGATATTCCATGACAAAACCAGATTTAAGCAATACATATCCACAAATCCAGTCCTATGGAAATTAATGGAAAGAAAACTCCAATGTAAAGAAAATAACTACACTCAAAAAACCATGGGCAATAGATAATCGGCTTTCACCACTAGACAGGACCATCAGACAGAAACTTAACAAAGAAACATAGGATCTA